ATACTACCATCTCACCAAAGTAATTAGAACCCTTTATAGTATGAGGCTATAATCTTTCATTATGTTTTGACGCATAAAAGTTGGATGACATTTCCAAACTTCATTACTGTACTTGCTATCCTCCACATTACTAAGGCAAAATTTAGAAAGTGTTAACCCCACATAGTAGTACTTGGTGTAGGTTTCTTCTCCACAGGCTACTTGCTTTGTTTGAAATAATTTTATTTTCTGGGGTTTATTTGCTTGCCTTTTTTATAGATGAAAACCTCACCTGGTGTTCTCTTTAAAATGGGACAGCTATCCAAGAGCCAGAGTCCACACAACAACTACCTTCAGTGTTTTCAAGGAGAGATAAATCTGATCTCACTTCTGCTGTGAAACCATCATGACTGCAACAAGTTACATTATTTCTATTTTTAATATATTTTCTCAATGACTGATGAAGTTACAGCCAAACATCTGCACAATTTGAAAGAACTGCTTCACTAAAATTAGAACAAATTTAAGGTAAAGAATCATAGCAGTTGGCCTTAGCAAGTCACATAAATGTAAAACTTCATCCCCACTCCCCTCGGCTCTCTCCCAGCCCTTCCCCACACCAGCGAGTACCATGGTTACTTCACCATGGCAATTTCGGAATGCTTATTCAGGGCTTATTCATATGACAGTAAGCAGAGCAAGACAAAACAGCTGGTCTGTAACCAAGGACACAACAAAAGTTATGTCTGGCATTAGTCTGAATGAGAGAAGGCTTTTTTGTTTTGTTTTGTTTAAGAATGAGTCACCATATACTTCTGCATTTGAAACACTTTACCTGAAGCAGGAAAATTGCTGCACAGCAGCTCACCTGGCACGGCTTGAAAGCTCCAGCCCATATCTCAGTTCTAAATGCTCTTTCTTGAAAAAACCACAGGAAAACACTAATTTGTTATAAAATACAGTTCTACGTGCACTTTCCATCTGAGAATTTCAAAACACATCACAGACATTAACACAATACTATGAGTCTCACAAATCCCTTGAAAACTCTAAAATAAACCAGGCCCATAGAAGTTGCCACATCAGATCTGGCCAGTGTCTCGCTTAATCCAGCATCCCGTCTCCAACAGACAAGAATAAAACGTTAAATATAGCATGTCAACATATTAAGCCCTATCCTGCTGTCCCCCAAAGACAGCTGAGCACACACAAAAACCGTAACCTTGGAGCCTGCTGACTCCGATTCAGGGAAGAAGGATAATTATACTCATAGGGGTAAGTGAGGAGGCTGACAGTTTCTAGCGCAGCCCCGTTGGTTTTGGCCCAAACTCAAAGGGTCTGTATGTTTATGTATGGATTTCAGGAAAACAAATGTCATGGTTAACTACTTAGAAGAGTGCTTAGAGAGAACCAACTATCAGTATCCATACAGGTAATAGCAAATGCCCTTCCTGAAACTCATTTGTGTGATACAATTAACTTTCCCCGTGTTCGCCCAAGCTCTTACGCCGCCATGCCACTGTGGAAGTCGTGCAGCTCAGTCCCACCCCAGCAGCTAAAAGACTCCTACGCTGTAGTCCATGCTAGTGGGTTTCAGTGGCATAACGAATTTAAATGCAGACTGGAAACCTCCTTCTGCCCTCCCCCAGTGGCTTTACTTCTGTCCTGGAGGAAACCAAATCAGAACACTGGCTTCTAGAAGGGGGGCAAAAGAGGAAAGTTCATCTGTTTGTTCAGAAACCTGTTCCTGTCCACGCAATAAAGCAAACCTAACTGATTTTAAGGCAGGCAGGATGTCCCAGAAATTTAGTAACTGTGCTGAATTGGCTGCTGTCTTATTAATGTTCACCAGACACACGGACGGTGGGGTGGAAAAAGGGATAGTTGGCTGAAAAAATGTCTGCTGGGCAAACAAAATGAAGGAATCTTTTACTTAATATATGAAAAACATCCTGTGCAGGAATTCCATGCTTAATTTCCCTAGGTTTGTTGCATGCTCGTTCTGCCACCTGCTGCCCTGGCATTCCCCGAAGTTTCACGAACAGCGACCACGTCCTCAAGCTTTCTCAGAACCCTGCATGACTAAGAACAAGCATCTAGCAGCCCAGTGGCCTGGCATGTCCAGAAGACAGCCCGGTTCTGGAAAACTGCTTGCTTGAATCCTCCCTAATGATTATGTTATCACTTCATGTTCTGAAGCATACCACCCTCGGGGCCCAGTGCAACTCAAGCGGTGCTTTCTCCCTTAATGGGCAGGAATTTCCCAGTGAGGATTAGCACGCTGGCCCTACCGCCATGAAGTTGGATAGGGAAAGATCCCTCAGACTGTCACCACTGCCCCAGCTCCTCCAGAGAATGGAGAGAAAGTAGAGCCAGGAAGAGCTGTTGTCTTGGTTTTGGTTAAAACAGGACCGATTCTCTTTTAGTGAATCTTCCTTACAGCTAAGTTCTTCTAAGGAGAAGTTGTCCTTCTTCAGGAGGTCAAGTGACTGAAGAAAGAACAAGTTCCAGCTTTTGAAAGAAAAAATTGTCCCCACTGTGCAAGTCAGAACAAAACACAGGTTATTCCATGAGCAGTATCAATTCTGCAGGTTTACAAATTGTGAAAAGCAGAGAAAACTTGTTTTTGCACTACTTTTCACCCGAATCTCCAGAACAACTGTGTGCTTTCAGTAATTTCCTGGGGCAGAATTTCACTTTAAAACCACACAGATAATCACAGGGGGTTTTTTTGGTTGTTTTTTGGTTTTTGTTTTTTGTTTTTTTTAATACAGTAACACGAGAATTCGTAAAAGTGATTACTGACTTGGGAATTTTTGCACCTCCAAGTTAAGCTTCCTTAAAAGGTTCTGATATTCAACGCGCTGATATGCAATACCTCCTGGCAGAACTACCTTATGATGACTGAAATGGCATCTTAAGAACTAAGGCACCTTTATTCACAATTCATTTCTGAAAGTGGGTATAAAGCAATTATGAAAGAACCTATGTGTGTAAAACTACAGTAATTTAATCAATACACTGCTGCGACAGGTAGGGTAATTCTAGATGCCCTCCTCTAACTGGAAACTTCATATCCAGCTGAAAGATTTCTCTCACTTCAAGAAAAGAGAATTTATGTAAAAAAAAGGACACAGATCTCAGCAATAGGAAAATCACAGAACATCATGGACATATCCCATTTCATTCATGGACTTCACAGACCCATCATTATTTATATCATGTGTCTGTTTCAAAATTACTTTGTTTTTAATAATATAACTTAATAATACAAAAATGGTTACTTTAATGTTGATTTTCCTCACTGTAGATTTAGTTCTTCTGCTTAGCTAAACCAGAATGAGCCCATGGCTGCACACGCAAGCGAAGTGGTGCACCTGACAAACCCAGCTAGCAACAGAGTAAAACCCTGCTTTTTTTTAAGCAGATCATAATATATCTTTATAATGAAATTTTACATGCTTGAAAACAACATTTCATATACTTGTGATCTATTACTTCTCAAACAAAATCAGGAAAAATTACATTTAATATCCGAATGTTGTTTAGGAAAACTGCTCCTTCTTTCCACCATCAGAGGAATGTTCTTAATCCTTTTAGCTGACTTAGTGCATCATGAAGTAGCACCGAGCCCAGTTTCTGCCCTTTTCCCTTTGCCAGCTACACCTCTCATGTACCTCCAAAGCGATCCAGGAAACTTGTGAACAGCTTTGTATTTTGTACACACAGGTAGAAAAGAACTCATTACAGACCAGAATAATCATAGAATCATAGGTTGGAAAAGACCTCTAAGATCATCAAGTCCAACCAAGAAGCAGAACACAGAGAACTTAGAAAAGCAGCAGCAGTAAGAGTATGTTGCTATACAACTGTGTGTGGTCTTTAGAAGCGAATCCAGAAGATGCCTTTTCTAACTGCATTTGACACACTTTTCCTGCCACCTGAGAGCCCACTTCTTCCCAGTGCCCACTACTCACAGGAACAGAACTGCCATCATTATAATTGTACTTCTAATAAGCAGAACAAAACAGAATGGCTTCCTCTCCTCTGGCTCTAAAGACTGCAACCTCAAAGCAAGAAACCTTGTGTTATGGCAGGAAAACCAGGAGCACCAATTTGAACGCATGTGGGCAGGAATGTCTGACAGCTCTCTACTTTAATGGGCAGAAAATCAATAACACTAAGATTGAGGGTCACAGCCTTTGGAAAGAGTTACATCAATGCAAAAACAGAACAGACTAAGCCAAAAGAGATTATAACTGCAGATATCCTAAGGGACAGATGAAATCATGGGTTATGATGTTTATAAAAACAAAAAAAAAGTTATTCCCTCAAATAAACCTCAAATGTCTCGCGTTCTGGTTTTTCACAGTTTTTTTTAAATTAAGAGGTGAAGATTGCAGTCAAAAATGCTACTATCTGTCACTCAAAAGCATGAAGTCTCTTAGTGAAAGGGGTAAGCATTCTCCGTGTTGCAGGCATACTTCTGGAAAACTGGTACCATACTTACTGCTCAAAGTTAAGCTTGCTGGTGCAAGCAGCAGCCTTACACTTGCAAACAGTAGCTGCAGAAGATAGAATGCTCCCTCTCCTAACAGTCACAGACAAGATTTGGCACAAAGAGCGGAAAGGATGACAACAAAACCATCACAGTAGCAAAAGGACTAGCCTCCTACCCCTGCTCCAAAATCCCTGCGCAGGAAAGCACTTATTTAAGGATTACCCTTCACCTCCACAACATGAAATGCACTAAAAGCTCCAGGAACTTGTATGCGTGTGCCAACAGGCCAACGCTACATCCCGTGACTCAGGTAAGCCCATCCCGACACAGGGAGGCACTGGAGGACTGGTCACCCCCTAAAAGCAAAGGACGCTGACTGCCCCCCGCCCCAAATAAGCAACTGGCTGTGAAGTGCCAGGTTCTCAACAGACACTGCATAACCGCAGGGGCTGAAGGAAACAGACCATCTGACTGAGCATTTCTGGTGCAGCTTTATTTAAATTCTCTTTGTTGTTCTCACCTGTCTTGTCGGCAAGTCATGATACTGTAGTATGAGCCTGGTGTTGACGCTGTGACTCCACGTGTTTCCAAGAGCTGCTGTCACACGACCACATTCCCTCTTCCCACCTCCAGAAGCTCCTGAAGATAAATATGAACGAAACTGCATCAGGACTGCACCACAGGGAAGGGTTCAGCATGGAAACTCTGATCAGTCATCTCAGATGGTTCCCTAAGCTAGGTAATCACAATCTTAATAGATGGCACTATTGCACGAATTACCTACCTTTCTGATTTATTTATACAACTGGAATGTGAGTTCTGCATCTCACCCTCTGATACCTAGACAAAGTGCCAAGAATTGAGGATACATTGCAAAGTAGTACCTACCATGGATGGGGGACACTTGCCTTTTCCTCTCTAGACATACCACCCCCAAGCAAACCGGCTTTCTATGGGCACAGAGCAGAGGCAAGCAGGCCAGCAGAGTCACAGTGTATAAGGACATAACAAAAAGGGAAGCTAAAGGAGCAGAATCTGGTGTCACGATACCCTGATCTAAAAATCAGAATGCTGCTTCATGCCATCAGGCGTCCCGTGCATTTTCTACAATTTGCAAAGAAGGGAGCCCCTTAGCTACAAATACCATGGCTGGGTGTCTCTGAAATCATATGAACTTTACATAACTCTGAAGGAAAATGCATTTTGCTACAATCAGCAACGACAACACAAAGAAGTGTTTCCAATAATGCCACATGATTCAGCTTGCTGAAGTGCCATTTCACATGAGCTTTTTCATATTGAAACCAGAGACCCACACATACACACATACGCAAATGCAGGACGGTAGGTGCCCGAGACCTTCGTCTTTGCTTACCACAAGTTCTGTATAAGATGAACAGACAGATGGGTGACTTGTTTGTACTTCAAATGACACTTCAAGAACAGAGCAAGCCAGACAAACTGAAGAAATTCAGAAACAAAATCCCAACTGTTCCATGGGTATAAATGACCTGGGTTGAAAATTGAACTGTTTGAGACAGACAGTCCACACTGTTAAAAAGCTATGAGTGTTGGCCTGAAGTTGAATAAGAGAAAGTTAGATTTAAAGTCGGGGAACTTCCTGTCATCTATCAGGCAACAAAGTAGCTTGCTTCCCCAGGACAGTCATGAAATTCTTGTCAACTAAGTCAATTAAAGGTAAACCAGACACTTACTTTGCCACACAAACTTGAGAGCAACCTCATGTTTCTGTCAAAATGATCAATATTGCAACAGTTAATGTTGAAAGTTAAATTGTAAGTACTAGGTTTTGGAAGCAATACTGTACCAAGACGACAAAGTCATCTCATGGCCCAGTGGACATTCTGGAAGATTCAGGTTTAAAATCCTTCACTGCTTTTACATTTGCAAGGTTGTGGGTTTTGTTCAACTATTCAGAGCAGAAACATAATTTCTCCCTTCACTAAAGGTTTTATTTTGGAAAAATATCCAGTAATAGGTAAGACCAAAAGTGTTGGCATGCAGTAATATAATTATAAGTATCACTGCTGGCAGCTTACACGCAATGAGAAGGACACTGGGTTAGACTGCATTAGGCAGAGAACAGCAGGCTGGAGATCAGGGTCTGGAATGACTGCAGCACGCTACAGGACTCAGCTGAAGACCTCAAACCTCCACCCCAAGTAATGCAAGGTTCAGTTAACACCAACTGGATTTGGATTAGGTCTTTAAATGTTTAAGGTCTACAAAATAAATGTGTGAAGCACCTGGTATAAGGCAATAGTTTGACAAGAGTCTGGACTCTGTACCTGTCTGAATTTTCTCCCACATCACGGGAACTCACTGTGACATGCACAATACTCGCTTCTCCAGAACAACAGCTGTGCCATCCAGCAAGGATGGCTGCTTTTCTTTCCTCAAAACAAAGTTATTAATATCTCGATAAGCATCAAACTTCCACCTGAATAATTCACGACAGGAGCACCTAACTGGAAGTCTCAGTATTAGGAACGCTGTTCTGTTAATTAGTCTAACCCATCTCTGTTAGGAAGGTGGATGTGCTGACAATAACAATTTCTCTTCATCTATGTTTTGGATTTAATATGCCAGCTGGAGGAGAGAACAGGTTAAAGTATTAAAGCAGGGTTCTGGGAGGTCTATATTCCATTCCCTTAAAATAACTTAAACCAAGTTACTTAATTAAGTTCATTAAGTTCTATAAACGTTTGTTTTTGTGCTAATACCACAAAAGTAAAATGCCATTACGGTACAAACAGGCTACAGGAGAATAAAAGACAGTGAAGCAACTTTAAAGTTTTGCAATTCTCTCTCTGTCATGTGGAATAAGCTGCAAGTTCCTCCTGTGGTCAACACTGTCCTTCTGTCCCACCTGCTAGAAATGGGTAGGAATCACAAAATTCAAGTGAGGCAGCTAAGTGTGAGTTCCAGTGGGTGTGAAGGTGTTCCTCCCACAGCTGGTGTAACTGCACCCCCGTATGCCAATGGAAGCCACCGCTACACACCACTGAGAAGCAATTCACCCACCGCTGCTTGGGGACCTCTGGCTACAGACAAAAAGCCCAGACATTCCAGAAGTAGCTACTGTTGGCATAAAACAGCTGCAAAGTTCACATCCAAACTTCCCTCAAATTATATGTCTTTGCTATCAGCTAACAGAAGGAGTCGCATCTTGCCGCTACAATCCTGAGCCAGGCATTTAAGCAGTTAAATGTCTGGAGCCTGATGATATTACAAAGATATCACTCCACAGCAGTTCCTAATTCTGCATTCCTTCCAGGCCTAAAACCTGTCCCAAAGTGAATAGAAGTGCCAGAGGTGTAAGGCTTGTGGCAGAACAAGTAAGCTAATTGCTGTCATTTTAGTTTATTATACAGGAGAAAGCCTACTGTACCATACTGTGTCAGCCCCTGTCTGAAGGGGGCTGTTTGTGTGACCCACTTTCAGGCAAATCCTCCTCTGTGAAGTTATTCAAATTTATGACTCTGGTGCAAAGTGGTTAGTAAGCCTGGAGCAAATTTACAGCAAAGACATTTTACAAGGTGGAAAGGAATGCCTCACAGGAAAGGTTTCCATTTTATACGGGATCCTCCTGCAAGCTGATGCATGAGGCAGACAGAGAGGCAAACCAACAAGAAGTGAAGTAAACCGAAGGGGAAGCGGCGCCAGCTTTGCAAAGAAGTTCAAGGGCAGTGACAGCACATGCTTCATTCCTTCTCCTTGCTCTAAACACAAAAAGATAGTAAATGTCTCAGAGGAAGTGAAGAGGATATGTTAAGAAAACAGATTTATATTCAGACATGGCCTTAAAAAAACCTTGGACTTATCTTTTCTGTTATTTCAACCGCTACCTAGTCAGTAATGAACAGGACAAAGGAAGTGGATAAATACTACTGTTCAAAGAGAGAGTGATATTTTTCAGCACGCATTGCCTTGCTCTTCTCAACCCTGATATTTGCACACTTGCAGATGGGAGTATCAGACCGACCTGAGCCCAGGAAGAAAGCAGGCTCATACGGGACTTTGGTCTCTGCTCAGAGGTCCCCAAACTGTCCAACCTGAACCAATTCAGAGTGGCATGGAGCAACAACTCCCAGCTGGGACACAAAGGCACTTATCTGTGCTGCGGGGTGGATGCTGCCACCGAGCCAGCGACGTGCAGCCAGCTGACACGCAGCAGCCGCTGTCTCTCCAGCCTGTGCAGAGCACAGCTCTCACTCCAGTTGCTGCTGGTGTGATGGTTTCTGCTCAGGACATGGGTGATACAGGGAGCACAGGGACTAGGAGAGGAAGAAAACAGGGCTCACAGACAGATGAGAGAAAGGTGGCAGATCTCAAGTCTATGGATGAAGTATGTGGGAGAAGGGAGTGGGTGTCCAGAAGCACCAAGATGGGATCCTAACGTGGGGAGGTGAAGATGCATGCTACAAGGGTGGGAGATGACCTTTGAACCACTCCCTGCTTTACATATTCAGATCCAGCTCCATGAAAATGAAGTGGCGATTTCAGTTCCTGTAAACACTCCTCCTTTCCTTACACAAAAAGAACTAGCATCAAACCGACCTTCAGGGGCGCATCAGCAGACAGGCCAAGGACTGCACAAGGTCCCTGTTCTACTGTCTCCTGTGAAACTGAGCTCTTCAGGGCACCGGCAGAGACACCGATATCTGTTCTGCATCGCAGGCATAAAGGAGGAACTGTCTGCTTCACTCTCGCTGAACAGCTGTCACAAGTGAAAATAAAGCTTCTTGTGGTCTGAGTCAAATGCAAAGTAAAAGCCACTCCACAACCAGGGCAAAAACAAACCAAAGAAGAAAGGGTGATTCTTCAGCTGAGGCCTGCAGTGCTGCTTCCAAGCAGAAGACGAGGCCACACTGGGCTCCGCCACCCTGGGAGGAGCTGTCGGTGGAACTGGGCAACACAGGGCTCTACTTATACACAAGGGCTAGTTTCATTTTGTTTGTTTCCCCCTGCCCACGCAATTAAAACAAGCCTTCCATAAGTACCTTTCTTATCACTGAGATGAATGCCACATACAGGCAGAATGGGGAAAGTGGGTTTATTCCACCTTCCATTTTTCACTGGAGGAAACAGGATTAAAGGTATTCAACTCAATACTGATTCTGAGATTATTCTATTATGTCCAGCCAGAGAATTACAAGTACAGACATGGTCTCAAAGACCTTCTTGTCCTCTCTATATAAGAAGGTACCATTTCAAAGACTAAATCCTCATGCAACCAAGTCACAATTGTTGCAAATATGGTTGAAGGGGATTTAATCTTAATGGAACTTCAGATTCATTACTGTCTCATCCTATGAAAATCAGGTTAACTAGACCAGTGTCTTGAATCAAATAAAACAAGCTTCTTAAAATAACATTTCTAAATACAAGGAGTCATTGCAAGCAGAATGTGATTACACTCTTGATTCAAAAAAATAACCTGTTCCTTGTTGCCTTCCAGATGAAAGAGTCATTGCCTGGCAGGTACATCCCCACCATGGGCCCCGTTGCAATCTCTATCAATTTAGTAATTCAAAAATCTTTTCTCATCAAATACAAAAAAGAGATCAATGCACAATACAACAGTAAAATAACAAAATAGAGAGGCAACCAGTCCC